AAGAGATGTTTTCATATAAACCTTACAGCAATGATCTTATTAAAAAAATGGTAATTCTCACCCTTCTTTATGGTATACTCACATCAGAGAGGTAATTAACTTTAAGGGATAAAAGAAAGATGGTAAGTCTGCATTTAAATAGTATATTTAAATATTGCTTAGATCTCCCAAATCTAAGCATGGATTCCTTACTCATCCCCATTGCTACTGATAAGGATTTACTCAAGTATTCCAATTGACCTTGATAGTCCTTCTCCAGTGAGTACATACCATCACCAGCTTAAGTGGCCCTTAGAGACCTCATAGGAGAATACTTTTCTTGCTAACTTATGACTTAATTGCTAGCAACACGCACTATAAAATAATACTGAATTAATTAATAGAAATTACACCCTGGGTTGTATGGGAATGAAAAGAAATGAAGGGGGAAAAAAAAAAAAAAAAAAAAGCAATATATAATCCACTACAGTTTTTAACAGACAAAAGCAAGGTCTTCTGCTTCCAAAACCTGAGAATCTTCAACAAAGATGAAGTTGGTGTACCTAAAGACACCTAAAGACATAGGCAGGTTTGGATGCTCTAGATTTGCCTTGAATCAAAACCTGTGTGAGGTGACAGTGGGAGCCTTGGGAAGAGCCTAGAATGATTAACTGGCATTTAATTCTAGAAGCCTAATAAATGTAGTTCCTTTAGCCTCTACTTGTAGCCAGGGAAGACATACAGGGGATTATAGAGGGAAAGGAGTTAGGCACTATGAAAACCTTTCCTACATGCTTCTTTTTCATTTCTCGTTATACAATCAAGATCATAATTTTCAAGGGGTAATGCTGTACTGATAAAAACCAAGCTGAAATTGGAGAGTTTATTGCTTATCTTTTGGTTGATGTAATGCTGTGCAAAGTTAATCCGTACGAATGTTGCCAGGTTCATTGCCCAAGAAAAGGAAATCCCTTTTTCAACATTATTGAGTGTACAGCAGCATGGGAAAACACTGGTATAGCTGTATGAATATGTTTTGACTTCTACGTCCTTAGCAATCTTTTTCTATATATTATCAAGAAGAATCTTGTCATGCAATCTCCTAAATATAATTTCAGCTTTATTTTTTTCTCAAAGTTTCTTGCTTTAATTTTCAAGATGGATAAATATTCTAAACAAATTTTACCTTCTATGAACAGACTTTAGTTTAATACTTAAAGGATTTGATACTGATTATGATGCACCATTCCAGAGCAAGATTTGGTGAACCTGAACACAAAATAATAGTTCATATAGGAATTGTAAAAACAATGGCATGAGACATCCACAAAAAAAAAAAAAAAAAGTTATTATTATTGTAGTTGAGAACTATTAATCTTTTGCTAAATGTTTGTAGACCTGTAACCACACTAAAGTAAATATTTAAAAATTCATATTATAGAACATTCTGGCATAATATAATTGGAATTATTGCCTATTGTAATTAGTGCCTTGGGTCTTGATTTTTAATTCTTACCTTCTACTTTTTCCCTTTCCATCTTTCCATTCCGCTAAATAGAGGGCATGTCACTTATTTTTTTTCAGTATATAATTTGTTGATTACTGCCTAGTATTTCAGATACGATATCCTAATAAAATACATATATATATTACTATGTATATATTTTAAAATTGTATAGACTGAATTTGGATTGCCATTATCAGTTCTCACTAAATCCAGAATTTAGGAAGAATCATAAAGCTGAACAACTATGTTAACATTTTTTGTATATTTCAAAGAGGTTTAGCAGTCTTTTATTAATCAAGCACTTTCTCTGAATTTATTTTCATTGTTAGTGAGCATCATGATAGCCTTTTAAACTCCTTTCAGGTTAATTTGCTCCTTCAGAAGTGTTTATTCATTAATGTTACACAGCCATATTTTATATCCTCTCTATTGTGTTATACCAAGCGATAATTTAGCCAAGAAGTCTAGGATTGCATCCTTTTGACACACCAAACAGTTTACATTTGAGCTCAGGGACATGGCATTACCTAGGCTTGATCCTGTGAAATGCAGCCAACTTTCATACAGACAGCTGATATCTGGGAAAATGGTTTAAAACCCACTGCATTTGGGGAAAAAAAAAACACATTAGAAGATAACATGAATGTCTGTAGATACTAGCGAAGGCTACAATGCTGATCTTTCTTACTGAAATGTTGATTTTCTTTTATACAGTTTTTATCAATGCAGTCAACAGACAATAAAGCACTTGGCACCTCTCAGAAATGAGACTTCAGAAGATAAAGAAAAAGCATATATATGCTTAAAATGCACATTGATTGTCAAGGGTTCTTTAAAGCTACATACATCTCTCTTAAAAACAACTAATGCCTTGACTATGGTGGAGCATGGAGGCCACTGTATCTGTGAGAAATTTCCTTCACATTTTTTACCTGCTTGGAAGGGAGTAAATACAAAAGAAATGAATAGAAATGTCCTTTCCCCAAGATGCCGTCAAGGAATCTCTTATGTCTGTGTATTGTGCCTGAAGGTTTCTACAGCAGGTTCAAAGGGACAAACTTGTTGAATATCTCTTTGTATTTGCCTCAGGGAGTGGGATTAGAGTACATTTTTTCATATTTTTACTTCTAGCCTGCAAACTGAAGTTCTTTCTTTTTCTTCTTTTTGTCTTTTTGCCTTTCTTTTTTTTTTTTTAATATTAATTAAACAATCTTTGATGTTTAAAAACAAAAGAGTATGAAAGAAAAGAACGGTAGTAACATTTTTTTCTCTTTCTTCTGCAGTTAATCTAACTGAATGATTTCAAGTGATGCTTTTTATTAGGCAGATCTTGATTTGCAATGTGCTGAACCATCTTTTGCTGCAGTTACAAGAACAACTTGCTATGGGTAAGCCAACATATGATCCTATGGGGCATCAACTCCTGCTGTCACTGCTTGCATACATGTTGCTATTCTGCCATACCCTGGGGTAGATGCAAGCAAGTTTACCCTTCAGTGAAGTTATTTTCCCTTTATTATCCTGTTGCAGAATCTATCACAGCCCAACAATTCCACAATTGATTTGCTGGCAGCTGAGCCCTGGGGCTTGGAATGTAAATAAGACTCAGAATAAAAGTGATGTGCACTGCAGCAGTCGAGAGTGAGCGCAGGTACTTCATCAATTGACCTGATTTCTGGAAAATGTGCTTGCAACCTTGAATCTTGCTTGCAATTACAATCTTCGCAATAAAATATTAGTCTCCATGGTAATGAGAAGTGCCTTCCTAACATATTTAGAAATTAAAAAAAAAAAAAAATTAAAAAAAAAAAAGAGGAGATGACAGTATCTCTGAGGAAAATGAAATTTTCAGTATCATTTCACAGTTGGACAGCTTCCTGCAGACTTGTCAACAGATTAGTAGCTTTCTGCCCATTTTATACATGGAAAAACTGAGTAATTAATAACCCTCAGGCCTTCCTTGCAAGAAGGAGATTTAATGAGCTCTGTAGCAGTATTGGAGCAGAAGGGCATAAATGGCTTTTTCATGTCCATGCAGAAGAATAACACTGATGCAAGGATGGTCCTGCCTTACTCCTTACAGGGTCTATTAAATGTCGTTAAAAAAAAATGCTGCTCTTGTTTAAATTTGGCAAAACTGGGGGATGAAAATAACCTCTTTGAGCAGAGATTCCATCATGGCACAATGTCAGTCACAAGGGGAATCTGATCCACAGGCCATATCTTATCAGAAAAGAAATACGTGTTAGGGCCCAGTAGGCAGCAAAAGGGAAAGAAAAAAAAGAAAAAAAAAACATAGTAGGCTCTGTACAAACCTATGCAGTCAGCAGACCAAATATCTCTCAGACTGACTTCTGCATAAGGGGCTGTTTTAGGAGCTGCACGAACTGGCTAAAGCAGGTCATGAAATACCTTTCTGAATAATTTCCCCACAGGAAACAATCAAAATAATGGACAAATATCTTCCAAGCCAGGAACCACAGAACAGAAGTCAGAGTGGGGAGAGAGATGAGAACTATCTTTTCCTCCCCAGTCAGACAGCCAGAGAGAACCACAGCATTCAGAGACTATGGCAGACTGCCCAAAGTGTTCATACCAATTCTGCTCCACGGCAGTTGAAAAATCTTCCAGATGTTAGCTGATTTGCTGAAAAAATTCAGTCTTGTTTCTGCTGAAATAGAGTTCTCTTGGACAGGCAGGAGAATTTTTTCCAAGAGCTCAGAATTCCTCACAGGAAGGAAAATGCCATATTCTGATCAGCTCTGTAGATTCCCGTTTCTTGCTCTTGATGTTTAATTGCTGTGCAACCAAGGATAAGAAACTTTATCTCATCATTCCCCAGTTTCTCTACCAATGAGAAGCTTTCTTTAACCACTCTAAGAGAAGAGGGTAAAAAAAATGAAGGAAGAAAGAAGGAACTATTCCACTATTTCTTCTTAAATGTCTTATTAGTCACCACCCCCTCGTGCAAGACATGAAAGTAAAATGTTATTTACAAATTGCAGCTAGAAATTGTCTAAAAGTAGTCACTCCAGCTACACTTCACAGTAACTCACATCTCAAATTTCTCAGTGCTTTCCTGTGTGCATACTAAAACATAGGCATCAGTGTCTGATCTCATGCCTAAAGACATACCTGTCTGTGAAACAAAATGATTTTAGTTAGGAATACCAGTTTAGTTTCACAAATAGAAGAAACAAGTAAAAAATTACTTCTGCATTCGGTGGCATTGTTGCTTTCTGATGTCTCGATCTGTAGTCTGATGTTGTCTAATGTCCACTGGTTAGATGACGATGCTCAACATTTCTGCCTCAAACACTGGTGCAGTTTTAAGGTCTTTCAATTTAGATTTTGTCTTATGAATTATGAACAGGATTCATCTCTTTTCACATCTCTCTGTTCTTCATTATATTACACAGTGCTTCACTGCATACATTTCCCAAGAGGTCTCTCATCATTTTTAGGGCTGGCTTTAAAGATCATTTTTTTTACACCTACATTTTATATATAGGTCCTGGTCATGGTGTTCTTCACATGTGGTTGAACTCTCAAGATTTCATGGAACTCATTGTTAGGTAAGTAGGTCTGTGAAAAGGAATAAAAGACAAAGCTGGACCCGTAGCTGAAATGCTAAATATAGTTGGAAAGGGAAACTTTACACTGAAAAAAGGTACAGACCCCCAATTCATTGTTTCACCGTACCTCGTATCATAATTTTGTATCACTCAGTACAAAATGTCATCTTCTGACTTACTTACTGTATTCAGCTCTCATATTTCACTTAGGCAAATGACTATAACTATGTGAGTGCAAAAATAAGATCCAATTTGTTAATCTTATGTGATAAACTGAAAGGCAAAGAAATGTCTCGGTTCTCTGATCATAGCTTCAAATGCTTTTCAAGAAAATCTATTTAAAATGCTTTTGTTTTCCCACTATGATATTATTTCCTTAATCTTTTAATGTATTGCAGTACAACTTTGTGTAGTATACAATGCCAACTCAAACATAAGATAGACAGAGGTCTTTAAAAATGCCTACTTATATGTATATTTAAACATTTACATATTTATATAAATATGTAGATAAAATACTATTAAATTGAAAGGTAAAAATGATGAATTACAAACTGCCTCTGACAGAACAGAGATGCTTGAACAGACATTGATTAGGACAATAGTACTTTTTTTCATTGTAAAACTCAGAAATATTCTTAAATCATATAATGCTAGCACATACAATCAACCCTACTAGGTTTCCAGTCTTGTTCCCATACGGCTTGAAATAATTTCAGAAAGGAAATTTGAGTACCTTTGAAAGTGATTTAAGAGCTCCACTTTCCATTTAAATTGTCTTTTTTATCTTCTGCTTCTTTGTGTCAAGCATTGACAGTTACTTTTATTTCAATGTCTGGCAAAGAGAGAGTGGAGAGAGAAAAATGTATCCCAGTTAAGTGAAAACTTTGTATTTTCTCCAACAGGACAAAAGTCAAGGCAGAAGCAAAGAGTGAAGTAGCTGAAGGGTTGACACTGAAGGAGTTGGAGTAACTATGTTGATACACGTAGTTATTATCAATGTTCTGTTGTTTGGTTTTTTTTTCCTATGAAAACTAAAATATGCCTTGTATTATTTCTGAAGAACTGCAGATTCTATGGTTCAGAGAGCAATAGAGCAGCAGAATCTTTGTTATTCACAAGTTTTTGACCTGGTACAATATTGTCATTTTATACTGACAAGAAGGCATTTCACAACCACACCTAGGACTGAGGATAGTTCTCTTTCAGAATTAACAACTATTTTATATATATATAATATATATATTTGTTAACTATCTATGTGGGGAAAGATAACACATGATTAAATACTTTTTAATGCAAGACTCCAAGCCATAATCTTTCAAATTTACCCTAAACATTACATGAATTTAGCAACGTCTTCAACAGATCTGCCCATTCTTATCCACTGAGCAAGGATATTTCTAGAGTAGCAGGGCTGAAGCGTCAAACACTTGACTGAATGCCTGGCTTCTAAGGAACAAAAAAATGATGGGATTGGCTTGTCAGTCCTCTTCTGAAAACTTTTGGCCCACAGATTTAGCTAGGTGCAAGAACACCAACTGGAGAGTACTCATATGCTTTATAAAAATTGTAACAGTGGTGTAAAGGGTAGCAACCTGACAGATATTTTCACCAAGAGGCCCCACTGTTATGCTTTCTGTGTGGTGGCTGGATAGCCAAGGAGTCTGGGCAGGCCATTCATAGCTTTAGTCACAGAATAAACCAAATCTGGAGCAGGTGACAAGTAAGAAAGCAAAGTGAGGAATAGAGCAGGTTCTTAATGAAGATGGTTGACACAGGGCATGACAGGAATGGCAGTTACTAAAGCAAGGAGGTGTAGGAATATGAGACAAATCCCTGTAAAACAAGCCTGCATTCACTCCATATCTCTTGCAACAATTTTGTAATTTTTGCTTCATTTGTGTTTTGTTTTTACCACTTAGAGTTAAACAAGGCTGCAACTATAGAATCACAGAATCATAGAATCACTCAGGTTGGAAAAGACCTTAAAGATGAGTTTGCCTGTGTATTCAAATGTATGTATACACATGCAAATCCACCTATTTATATAATTGAATGTAAAATAAGCCACCTAAGACTTTCTGCTGCTTAAAATGCCTTGTAGCTAGCATAATAAATACATGAGACAGAAGTTGCCTAGAGAAAGAGATCATTAAATTACATTTTAGAAATAGCTAGCACTTCTGCGATAATGTTTGTGCATGTCCCAACCATCCAGGAGCAGATTATCTCCTGTTAAAAGCAACTGTGCTCAGTGAACACAGTTCACAAATCCACATGCACGAAGGCAAAATCCAGTGGAGATGGATTTTGAAGCAATGAAGATGCAGCTTTTAAAATGCAGCTATGGTAAGGTCTGATGTTCTTTTAAGGCTTCCGAAATATTTTGGCTGAATCCCTCACTGCCAGAGTGACTGACATTTTATTCTCATCTACAAAGTCACTGCAATACTTGCAAATGCTGATCCTTTGAAATATGTCTCTTGCACACTCCTTCCTTACAAAAGGAAGATTGGTCTTTGTGCAAATCTGCAATGGCATGCTTCTAAAAATAAGGATGTGATTGCCTCTTAGGTGGATCAATGTAGCATAGCGAGAAAACTACAGTGTGAATAGACGGAAACTGACATATTCAGACAGACATATACCTACCAAGAAAATGCATATGAAAATAAAAAAGAAAAAGAAAAAAGAGAAAAGAAAAAAGAAAAAAAAGAAAAAAAGAAAAAAAAAAAAAAAGAAAAAAAAAGTGCTGCATTTAGGAACTATTTTAAAATGAAGTGCTGTAATAACTCTCAAAAGAAACAGACTGGAGATAAATTATGCAACTCTAGCTGATTTAAATCTGATTTTGAGGGAACTAGGGAACAGGTATTAGCTCTGGGTTTCTTCTGATTGAAACAGAAGGTCATAAAAAGAGTAAAACAATTTAAAAAAAAATAAGGAATAGATTTATTTCAAAATTAAAAAAAGGGAAGGAAGGATTTCTGCACATGTTGTCAATGCCATAAGGAAACGTTACTCAGTATTGTACCGACATGAGGTGATGAGAGATTTATATCTGTTAACCTGGGTGTGTGGATTAGATAAATTTCCCCAGAACTGATGATATCAGCAGATATACATTGAGCAAATAAAGTTCCAGTTGTAAAATATAGACTAGGGATGTGCGGATGTATAAGAAATGTGGGCAAAGGAACTAGTAAGATGAGTATCTCATGCAAATGGGACATTAGTAGAAATAAATACATCAGCAAACATGAAAATGTCAAAGCCTCTGCAGAAAAAAATGTAATGTAGAAATGTGAAAATGACTCAACTGATGTAGGTCTAGCAATTGTCATAGTTAATCCAGCGAGGTAAACCTCAACCTTGATTCACAGAATCCTGCATGTATCTGCATATGCTTAAACTAGAAGCGATTCGTACAGATGTGCAAGTTTAAGTATGAACTGAAGTTTAGTTAACTGGAATTTATAGAAGATAGAATAAATAAATGACATTCATGTTTGTTTTATGTAGTATCCTAAGTGAGGATGTTGGATTTTTCTCTAAATTGCCCCCTCCCCCCTCCCCTCTTCCAGATAGGGGTATTTCCATTAGTAAACGCTAGTGATTTAAAATGTAAATAAATACTGTCATCTCAACAAGAGTGCTGGATCTGGAAAAACTGGGAAGGCAGTTGACAAGATTTAAATTGCTAATATTTTCCATGCATTAGTTTGGGGGTCTTAAGTTGGATCAGTAAGGAAATGTGATGTGAGGAACAAGCTCTTCCTTACCATGACTAACACAGTGTGGCAAACCAGCTGTTTCTGATAGTGATATCAATCTCACTGCTTTTGATTTTAGGGGTAGCAAACCTAGAGGACATACTGTTAGAGATTATCTCGTATTTTATCTTGAATTCATAAGGCAGCCCCATAAAAAAGCCATCAAGACATCCATCTGCCATTTTGTTTCTAAATTTATGATTAAATTAGAAGATAGCTTACAGAATGTGTCTAGCCATGTCACTCAGGTCAAGGACAAGGGTAGAGCAGACAAGGTCTTTCAACTGCAAGGCACAATTTGCTGTTTGGCAGCTCAAAGTCTTTAGATATTTATTTAAGCTTTAGTGACAAAGGCAGCAGAAGTTTCTGTGAGCTCTGACTGGTGGACAACATGCTTTGCGATGGCTGGCTGCCTGTTTTCTACCACTTTCCCCATCCAGAAGAACCTCAGATGCTTCGCGATAGCTACAGAAGAAGGCTGTATTACAGACTGGGTCTTAAAAGAAAGGATTTTGTGTATACTTCAATAACCTACTAGCCTGGAAATTGTGCTGGGTCAGCGGAGCTGCCCACATGGCAGCAGAAGATATGTGACAGCAGGTGTAAAGCAGCCGACTATGGGTGACAGCCACTGCAGCCTTCCCAGAGCAGCATTTCCACCTGAGAGATAAAGCCAGGAAATAACCTTGCTGATTTGACACTTGATTGTGCATTTTTTTTTTTTTTTTTAGGTATTTCTCAAAAAACTCCTCTCCAAATTGTACCCCTCTGCCTGGCTCCCAGCCAACATTTCTCATCCTCCTTCACTACGCGAAGGTTTTATCGTTTTTAGGACAGCTTCCGCCTAACGTTCGGTCTTGTATCTCAGTACTTCATCACCACACTTTCTCACAAGACACGCACGAACAAAGCACAGCCGACAAAGCCCTTCTCCTTACGGGTTGTGCTCAGCGGGACACCCTCCCCACACGCAGAGCCCGACGGGCCGTCAGCCAGCGGACACAGCACTCAGGGTAGGTTCGCAGCGTCGTGCAGAGTGGCGGTGGGCACACGTTGAGGGCCTCACACCGACCCCCGCTCGCAACCGCGAGCGCTCTGCACCGCTCCGCTCTGCTCCCTCAGCTCAGCCCGGCCCGCCGCGCGTCACGCCGCGCCGCCAATGGGCGGGGAGGGGGAGGCGGGCAGAAGGAGGGGTGGGGCGGCGGCGCTGCCAATGGGTTGTGGGGATGTTTCCCGGAGGCGAAGCGGCGGCCCCTCCCCCGGCGGCCGCTCCGGCTGGGGCTCGCCGGCCGGAGAGTTTCGCACCCGGCTGGGAGATGCCGCGCGGGCTCCTTCTCCTCACAGGTAACGCCTCGCGCGGTCCCCGATCACCTAGCAGGCAGCGGGATGGCGGCGGAGCTCGGAGCCGCTTCGGACGGGGTGACGGGTTGACACCCCCCGCACAAAAGCGGAGCCTCGAGCGGGGCAGGGCCGCCGCCAAACTTCCCCGCCTGGCTGCGCGGAGGGAGCTGTGCCGCTCGTTCCCTTCTCCTCCTTTCCTCCCCCCCGCCGCTCGGAGCGATCGCTGTGTCCGGCGGCGGCAGCGGCGGGGCGCGCTGGGGGAGCCTCTGCTGGCAGCGTGCGCGGAGCTGGTAAACAGAGCAGGGAAACTTTCTGCGCGAGGGGAACGCTGAGGAACCGGAGCGTTTTAACTGCGCCTCGCATGGTTTTGCTCGGCCGAGGAGCTGCGTTCGATCTCAGCTTGCGCAGCCCCGTGTTCTTTGAGCCCAGGAGCGCTGCTGCGGGATCCTCAGAGCCAAAGGGGCCGCTGGGCGGCAGGAAGCCGTGCCCGGCTTTGTGCTGCGGGTGGGAGCTCTGGGAGCGGAGTCAGGGCAAAGCAAAGCTGAGACAGAGCTCCTGTGTGTGCCTCTTTTGTTTGGAGTTAGAAACTTCACATACTGCCCGGCTTTTGCTATAGTTTTCCATCTGCAGGCTCGTCGCTGCCATTTGTAGCAGCACTGGCTGTGGTGTGGGAGCTCAGGAGGAGCAAAGGCAGAACAGCTGTCCGGGCAGAGCCGGGTTTGGGGGCAGCAGGAGGGACCCTGCTGAGCAAAGATGGCTCGTGGGTAACCTGCCAATGCGGGGAGATTGCATGGCCTTTCCATTTGCCTCAACAGCCAAATGCCTATGAGGATGGTTCTGGGCAGCCTGGTCTGGTGGTTGGCAACCCTGCACACAGCAGGGGGGTTGAAGCTAGATGATCATTGTGATCCTTTTCAACCCACGCCATTCTGTGATTCTAAGATTCTAGCAGGTGGATGCTATGATAGCAGGTGGAATGAAGCCTGTACCGTGTCTGACGTGAGCAGAATGACCCAATGAACGCCACTTTGAGTCTTAATTGTGCGATACCTGTTGTCTTGCTGCTTGAATTGTAGAGATTTAGGCCTAGTCCATTAGCTGGCTGTGACGTTTGTATGAATTGCCAGTATGGGCTACATGCAAGGCTGGAGCCTTTCGTTCAGTTAACCAGGGCAAAGTTCAGTTCATTCTGCAATTGCTTGTGTTTCTGCACTCCTTGCTCTCTATAAGGAAATTAAAACGTTTATCATCCTCACAGGGACTTTATAAATGCTTTGCACTCCCTGTGACACCCCAGTTTGTTGTACTTGAAAAGAATAGTAAAAAACAAAATTAAAAGTGTCTTGCTCAAGATTTTAGAATTTATCTGTGCCAGAGCTTTAACTTAGAATCTGAGAATCTCTTGGCTTTTGTCTCTGTGCATAGACCATGAGAAACTGTGGCTTTCTTCCAAGTTTGAAGTACAAAATTAAGTTTAGGTATGTTCCAGTGATTACCAAACACTCTGAAACAAAGGTGTTAGATTTGGGATAAGGAAATGTCACACAACACAACCTTCCATTTTAATTTTTCTTTTCTTTTTTTTTAATTGAAATGCTACTGTAATTGAGCACTTGTATCTATTTCTTTCAGATTTGCAACCAACATAATGCTGAAGCTCCCAACTTGGAACAAGGATTTCACAGAATGGCACAGGCAGAACCTAACCTGGACCATGACATATCATGGTTCCTCCTTCCATCATGCTGGGCTAAGACTGTTGTGGCATTAATTTCCTTCCTCTGCTTTGCTAACAGCTATGATGGAGATTTTGTCTTTGATGATTCTGAAGCCATCATCAATAATAAGGTTTGTCTCTTTTTTTGTTGTTGGTTTTTTTGTTTTCTTTTTTTCTTCCCTTTTGACTTAAGTGTTAATAGAAAAGAAATAGTGGCCACAATTTGTCTAAGGAGGCCCATAATACTCATCCTAGTAGAAAACTTCCTTCTGATATTTCTTTTTTTGAGCTTTATTTTTCTTGAGTTTGGTGTTTTGGTGGGGTTTTTTTGTTGTTCTTTTTTGTAGTAAGCTTTCTTTATCGTTGACAGGCAAGCCGTGCAGCAGTGCTCTGCAGAAAAACTGAACAAAATCTTATTCCTAAAGCTATTTGAAAAACATGACTTGGGTTCTAATGCATAATAATACAAAAGAGTGAGCAAATTAAAGAGGGTTGTTTTTTTTCCCCTCAGAACGTGTCACCTTTCTTTTTTTTTGCAAGTGAAATACTCTGCTTGACAAGTCTTGATATATGGTCAAGGAAAAGAGATTTCTCTGCCATGGCAGATGGAGTTCATCTACTTCTCATCTAAGGCAGCATTATCTAGGGTTGCAGCTAATTTGGATGTGCTGATTGGTAACACTTCTTCACGGGGTACCTGAATATCAAGAACTGCCTATAAATCTTATGCTCATTTCTAAGTGAGAGAGGGAGTCCGCAGTAGATTTTTCCAGTATCTCGTAATAGTAAATAAAGAAATTTTCATTATCTCCTTGGAGTGATGGGCAAATTCAGTTTGGTTGCGAGATAACTAACCAGTTGTAATATGCAGGGTTCTCCAGCTGTGGTTTATGCCACAGAAATGTTAAAGGAGCAAGGAAAGCTTTTTTTTCCTGTGTTTCTTCCCTACTTTTTAAACACTGATCATACGTGCTATGGGTAATTCTTGAAATACTTAAAAACTAAGATGTACAAAAGTTAGAGGCAACATACTGCAATGTGCATTTTAGAAGTTGACAGTACTACTCTTTACTCAGACAGATTTATGTTAGACTTGTACACGTCATTGTGCCTCAAGTTATAAACATATTGGGAAGAAAAAAATCCATCAAATTGGAATTAAATCTCAAAGCTTCTATTAAAAGACTATCAACAAATGAAGATCCTACAGTAGTTTGGTTTTTCTGTTGTTTTTGTGTTGTTGTGCTGTTCTGTTTTTTTTTTGTTTTTTTTTTTAAGGCATTCTATTTTAAATTACACAGCTCCTGGGAATGTTTCATTCTGCAAAGTTTTATTTGGGGCACAATAATATATTTTAGTTTCCTGAAAGAACAAGCAAAAGACTGATGTTGAAACAAGGCAAGTTGTTTTCTTCTTGTAGAATTTCCACACTAGTAATCTTTCTCCACTTCTTTCACTTTTTATTTTCAAAATATTTTTATTTATCTGTACAACACAACAACCTTCATCAGGATTATAGCTTTTGGCAGTGCTGAGAAATTCAGCCAATTGCTTGAGTAGATTAACCCAAATCTAGGCTGTTCATTTAAAAACAAACAAACAACTGTGAGGCTTACTCTACTTTTCATATAAAAATCTTGTATTATCTCGTGGAAACTAAATGAGAATTTGTCAACAGTATCATTTTAACATAGGGTTAGGAAAGTACTAACGTATATACATCAACTCCATAAGAAAAGTTAGGAGACTGAGTTTTTAGTTGGAAGGAAGAGTATACCGAAAAGGCAGAGTTCATTTAATAAGCTACAGCATGCTTTCTCTATTTTCTGCTTTTTCAATAGGAGAGAGAACAGATAAAGTAATTTTATAGATTTACTGAGTTACTCTATCTGTCTTCTTGGGTGCTGAACACTGATTTTTTTTTTAATGTACTAGCTTCCCTGCCCAATCCCCCTTTTCCCCAACCAACCTTTCCTTTAAGTAGCATTTTAACTAGTACACAACAATGGCTTTTGTCTTCATAAACTTCAGACACAGTGAGTCATTTCCATAAGCCTTTTTATAGAAAAACTGACCTTTTTTTTTTTTTTTCTGGAATTGAACCCTGTTTTGTGTGGGCTGCTGCTAATCAAGTACTTAGAGATTCTTTGATTTGTACTTTCAGTTCTGATAGAGAACATCATATGTAACTTTTTATCACTTGTGAATTTTAAAGCAAATGGGCTCCTTTTTTTAGAGAAAGTTCACTGTGGGGTGATTGATGTAAACAACTTTCTCTCACAGAGCTTAGATGCATGAACAAGATAAGTGGCTAAGAATTTCTGGGTCATAAGGAGATGTAAACACTAAATCATTCCAGGTATTCAGCTTTACCTGCATTCTTCCTGCTGAAGGCAGAAGAAGACTGATTCTGGTGGAATGGAAAATGTCGCTTTGCTCATCCCAAATAGATTTCCCATCATTAAGGCTATCTGTGACTTAGAAGATGTACTTTTAAAATTGTAGTACTTTCTTTTTTTTTTAAAAAAAAAAAAAAAAAACAGTCTTCTTCCTAGCTCATTTCTTACACAAACATGTATAAGGAACAATGCTGTTGTTTGGGACAGCAGTCTGAGAACTACAATGCCTGTCAATAGATCCATCTTGAAGAGTACGAAGGCTTCAATATTTGTTGGTGTACAACCTAGTCTTGACTTGCCCCTGTAAAAACAGGCTATATTGATTGATTTAGTGGGCTGATGATGAGCTTCAGTCCTCTGAGAGTCAGATTATGACCTTTAGTGTTTGTTCATGCCACTGGGGAATGGAACGTGCTGAAGGCCAAAATTGTGGTCTTGGGAGAAAAAAAATGAAATTCTTTGTATAGCTTGACAACAGAAATGTCTGTGAGAGAATGAAGAAGCTTCACTCTGGAATAATTCTTAAATTCAAATGAGATTCCCCAGGAGTCTTGGTTTCTTAATATTTTCATTGAAAATGCCTTAATTTACATCTGCAGTATAAGACTTTTCAAAGACTGCCTTGTTAGCAGTCTCTTTTCTGCATATTTGTTAGTAACATATTTCAGAATGTTTCTGTTTGATAGTATGTTGTTGCAAGATTATTATGTTACTTCCCCATCCTAATTCATAGAATCCTTCAGATCAGAAAAGACTGTTAAGATCATCAAGTCCAACCATCAAGTCTTCACCACCATACTCACTAAAATCTACTCTACATATCTACACATTTCTTGAACACCTCCAGGGTCAGGGATTCCACCACCTCCCTGGGCAGCCTGTTCTGATGCTTGACTGCTCTTCTGGAGAATATTTTTTTTTCCTAATACCCAACCTGAGGCTATTACCTCCCATCCTATCACTATTTACCTGGGAGAAAAGAACAATCCTTACCTCACCTCAATCTCCTTTCAGGTCATTGTAGAGAGCAATGAGGTTTCCTCTGAGCCACCTCATGTTCAGACAGCTCACTAGCTAGCACCCCTTTTCCTTCACGCAGCCTTCCAGTCATTCTGCCTCAAGCCTGTAGTGTTGCATGGAATTCTTGTGACTGAAGTGCAGAACTTGGCACTTATTCTTTTCAAACCTCATACAATTGGCTCCAGTGCATCAAACCAGCCTATCCAGATCCCTCTGTAACTGTTAACTAATATTGGCCAGGTTTGATTTGGTGATAGAAAACTATTTTTCTGGATTTTTTGATGGATAGAGAACAGAATGTATTAAGAGAACCAGGAAAAACTCAGATATTGCAAGTTCAGTCCAGCAGCAGCTAGTAAGCATGGCACAGGTGTTTAGTTGTATATTGGGATTAGCAGTGATATATTATCTCTTGACTTTCTGGCAGGCCAAAAATGCATCTAGGGATAAGATGAAAGGTACTGTAGAGCCCAGGATAATGTAGAAATAAGTAAGATAATAGCAGTGTTTTTAAGAAATTGGAGGTAAGGAGCTAAGTTTATTACAATGGGCCAACTTTGTAAGTAGATGGAGATGTAAAATGAGTAAGACATAGGGCACTAGGCTTTGAAAGACCTTTCATGAGGTCGGCAGGCTGGTTTATCGATTTACTGTTGTTTGAATTGGTTGTTTGGTCTCCTTTTGATTTGTTGATCTATTTAAAATTCTAAAAGAAGAGGGTGAAAGAAGGACAGAGTGGAGTAACTTCCTTTTGATTGCAGGTGTAACATCAACATTCAAATAAAAGGTATTCATTAGCTAGTACAATATTGTTTTTAGGCTCCATCTTAATTGTATGTAACTTGTATGTTTGCTTATTAGAATTTTTCTCAGAAAAGCAGAGGAATAAGGGAGAGTAGAAGATGAGAGTTTTGGATTGAGCTCAACAGCTTACTCTCACAAAGAACTAAGGAGGGTACTACAAAGCCCACCTCTTCAGAAAGGTGGCTTCCTTATTTTTTTCTTCTCCAAAGTCTGTGTTTGTCACTCAGTAGTCTGTGTTATATGAATGTTTTCTTTATCAACATGGCTTTAAGAGAAAAGCAAAGAGCATACTTATCCTTTGCAATGTTTTGGGTATTTTTTTAGGCTCTGACCCAACCAAAATTAACACAATTTGTTCATTTTAGCATCTGCTATTTTTATAATTTATAATTGTTTAGACCAGTATGCAAAAGACCTTATTATTGGCTTCATGTATTAACATTTTTTTTAAGTGCTAATTAAATAGTATTCTGTGCAAAGTAAAGCTTCAGAAAGAACTTGTTCTTATCTGTCTTCGGTCTCCTTGCTTCCTTGTTTTCATCAATAGTTGTCCTACTTGCACTGTTTTAAAAATAGCTGTTTGTGACAGTGGCCTCTTCTGCACGATAACCTTAAAACAAGGTGAAATGAAAGACATTTTACAATATTAGGTAAAGGTGGGGGTTTTTTTGTATGCATTCTATTTCGAATATTGGACCAGATTATCAACTGACGTTCTCATTGTTCTACTAAATTTCATGTAGTTATGCCTACTTAAAGGTCAAGATGCTTTGATTCTTTTTGATGGTCTGGATGTGCTCAAAAAGTGGGCACAGAAGAATCTAACGATGTTTAAAAGAGTCGAGTACAAGGTGTTGCACTTGGGTCAAGGCAATCCCAGGTACGAGTACAGGCTGGGAGAAGAACTCATTGAGAGGAGACTTGTGGAGATGGAATCCTGATGGACAAAGAACTGGACATGAGGCAACAGTGTGCTCTTGCAGCCCAGAGGGCCAGCAGTATCCTGGGCTACATCAGAAGAGAGGTGGCCAGGAGGGAGAGGAGGTGATTGTCCCCCTCTACTCTGTGAGACCCCATCTGGAGCTCTGTGTCCAGGCCTGGGGCCCCCAGTACAGGAAGGGTACAAAGCTATTGGAACAGGTTTAGAGGAGGGCCAGATAATCAAAAAGCTGGAGCACTTCTCCTGTGAAGAAAGGTTGAGGAAGCTGGGCTTGTTTAGCTTTGAGAAGGCTCTGGGAGACCTCATTTTGTCCTTCCAGTTCTTAAAAGGAGCTTGTAAGCAAGAGAGAGGCAGACTTTTTACATCATCTGAATGTGATAGGACAAAGGGGAATGGCTTTAAGCTAAGGGGGAATTGTTGTGAATACTCCATCTCCAGAGGCATTCAAGACCAGGTTGGATGGGATCGTGAGCAGCCTGATTTAATGGTTGGCAACTCTGCCTATGACAGGAGAGTTGGAACTAGACAATCTGTAAGGTCCCCTCCAATCCACATCATTCTGTGATTGTATGATAGGCATTCAAAACTTGACCTTTGTTACAAACTTTTGTACTTTGTCAAATGTTGGTGGAGAGCCAGCAAAACATCTGGTATGTTCGTGTTAACATGAGCTTGTATTACTTAGAACTCATTTGTGTTATAGCTTCTTTGAATCAGTGATGTTATGAATCTGGTGTTTTATTTCAGGACCTCAGGGCAGAAACCCCACTTGGTGACCTGTGGCATCATGACTTTTGGGGTAGCAAACTCAGCAGCAATACCAGTCATAAGTCGTATCGACCACTTACTGTCCTAACTTTCAGGTGAGACTTGCCATTTTGTTCTAGGTTTAAGATTATTTTAAATGCATATTGGCATGTTGATTTTAGGGAGGAGGCAAGATGAAAAAGGGAAAGACGAAATATCTGGAGGGAGTTGGATGTCCTTCCTTAGTCTGATTTTTCTGCTCTCTTTCTTAATCTCAAATTGAGTTTTAATTTTCAAATTGTTTCTTTTCCTAAGTACACGTTATTTTGACGTTGTTTTTCAATATACTTTTCAGAGATTGCATCTCATATACTTTGGTATTAGGAGCATTGTGGATCAGTGTGTTTTCAAGGAATGAAATGCATGTTCCCTCCACTTAGCCCTGCTGCCTCTTGTACTACTATTGTAGTTTCTGTTCCTTGCTTGGTTAGTAAAGCTGTCTGATGATTCTTTTTATAAATAGCATCAATCTGCTGAGGCCTAGGACACTGAGTAATTTTTTCTGTCTCTATCTCCCTGATATTTTTATTTCAAGTGAATGTTTGTCTGAGAGTCTGAGTGAAAAAGATGTTTGCTTGTCTATTTAACTGGCTGGTTTTCTCAGACAACTAATGGTTTACAAGGAGTCCTTCTGTAGATGCTGAGCTCATGTCTCGTTTGCCCAAATCCTTGTACAAAAAGAAAAAAAGCAAAAAAAAACCCACATAGCAACTGTGCACAGTAATGCAGAGAATCTTTAAGAACTGAGCCATAAACTTCTTTACTTTCCCCAAACAACTCTGTGCTATGGAACCAGCTGCTGCAGAATGTAGAGTTGGCACTGACTGTAGAGTTGTTTCTGGTCTAAACAGGAACTAAGATTGGAGAATCATTTAGATTCCTCCTCAGACTGAAGCAAAAGCTTTGACTCTTGAGATCAGTGTTAGTGTTTTAGCATGATGTCTCGCTGTCTTAAGGTTTCTTCACATTGCCATTGAGGAAAATATGCAACTGAATGGTATGTCTCAGTGTCTTAATCTTAGTAAAGCTTTGACTGCATTCAACAGCACATGCTTCCCTTTCTTTTCAAGGTCTCTGTGGTAGATTCCATCTTTAGTAATATCCCAGTTAGTTTAATGAGAGAACTGGGATACTATCATTACTATATCATGTGGGGGATACTATATACATGGTCCTTAAAATGCTGTTTTCACAAGTAAGAATTTGGCTTACTTAATACCCCAAGTTTAACTTTTCTGTGTATCACATCTATAATGAGTTAGGTATTTTTAATAGATTTCTTTTAAGCCAGATGTAGGCAGGTCAAATGAAGTATTTGAAGTTGTAAGTTTCTATGCATCTCACCTTCTTATAAAAGCACACAGAAAATAACATGCTCCTCCCTTTACCCTCTCCATTTTGCCTCAAAGTTCCTATCTTGGGTTGGATCTTAGACTTAATGTTTTCTACTTCTTTTCGTTCTGATACTTGTATGACATTTTCTCTAACCTGTCTCACAGATTAGTTACTAAGACTTGCTGCCTGACTACTTTCTGGATTGATGCTGGATTGTACCCAGCTGCTTTCTACATCAGTCCAAATGCTAAGATGTTTTTCTGCTAGAATGCCAGTAGAAATTGTAGTTTTATGCATTTCAGTTTCCATGCTGTGAATGTATTTAAAATTATCTCATCAAGTTGCTTGTGGACACAGTGTCTCTTAAGCCCAAGACTTCCCACAATAAGCTGGGAGTTCTGTTGGTAGCCAAAAGCCAGTTCTAACTTATCATCAGTGTGATTAACACAATGACATTAACATATGTTTTTGAAGAGAGTACATATTCTAAATATGGTATCTCATATGAATACCTTTAAATAAAGATCAGGATGTTGTTTCTGGCCTGTTGTGGTGATATGAATTGGTAAGACTATGCATGCCAGGGTTTGCTTGCATTTTTCAGCCTGTTTTGTTTTGTTTTGTTTTTGCCTTAGCTTTTGTTCGTTTCTAATACAGTCTTGGTTTGGGGGTTGGTTAAGTTGTCTGTTAGTATGTCTCTAACTATTCATGTAACTTCTAACCTTAATGCTTTTGTTTGTATATAGAATTAATTATCTTTTTGCTGGAGGCTTCTACCCAGTTGGTTTCCATGTCATCAATATCATACTGCATTGTACTATCTCAGTGTTGATGGTTGATGTGTTCTCAATATTATTGGGTGGATTGCAATTCACTAATAAAGGAAGAAGACTAAACCTGGCTCCAAAGACATCTCTTCTAGCTGCTTTGCTGTTTGCTGTACATCCAGTGCACACTGAATGTGTAAGTACTGAATACTTATTTCCAGCAATTTGTATCTTAGAAGTTTTTGACTGTCTTGATTAATTAGCTCTGACATAGCCTTTTACTGTACTCTTCGCTTATATATATTCTTAACTCTTCTCTTGACACTTGGCTTACAAGAACGATCAAATATTATGGTTAGTGCTTTCAAAACCTTGTAATTCCACAGGGCTGGACCTTATTAAGGAAGATAAATTAAATCATTTAAGTACAATAACTAAAGAAGGATAGCCCTAAACTACAGAGTTTTCCTAATTGCTGGATTAAGAATTCATTACTAGAAACATTAGCACATGAGTAGCCAAGAAGAATGGAAGATAAACTGAATGCAAATGCTTAACTACTTTTCATTCCAATTTGCTTTGATAAAAGGCAAGATGATAGAATATTGGAATAGGGTTATTACATAAACTCTGTATGTGACTATTAGGATATTTTATCCAGTTTTCAATCCATGATGCAATGGGGATACTGGGAAAAATGGAGAGGACTCAGAAGAGCTATGAAAGTGATTAAAGGATTGGAAATCATCCCATGTCATGATGGATCAAATTCCATGGATTTATATTTTTAGTATGAAGGAGAAGATTGAAGAATGGTTTTGTGTTTTTTTTTAATCACAGCCAGTAATTATGTACATGGGAAGCAGAAATTTGATAGTAATGGGCCCTTTAATAGCACAGACAGAAGCATAATAGTGACTGGAAGTTGAAGCTATAAAGATGTGAAATAGGAACATGGCATGTGAGTAGTGTCCAATTAAAATACCTGACCAAACATCAAAGTCACTGTGTGCAAGCTCTAGTGAAGACGAAATGATTTTCTTAAGCTGTTCTGCCCTCATAGCTGAGAAAGTTTTATGGCCTTTTGCTGGTGTATTTGCTGGCTTTGGTTCCTGATTGTTTAATATCTTATGAGTAAGAATACATGAAATGAAAAATAATTGCAATGCAAGAATATTTTTTATTTAGAGTTTGGAGGGACTGATGTATTTAAAAGGTACTAATTTTAACTTTGTCCTATGAAGAAACTCTGAATCCTCATTGTACAGTGTTCTGTGTGTGTGACACTGGTCTCTTTTCATTTAAAATATGGCATGTTTTTGTGGCCCTTTTTCATTCTTGTTGTATGTGATTGATGGGCAAGAGGTAACAGAAGAAAGTGCCTCTCAGTTAACTGGAGATTTTGTACGTACTGGAAACCTGGAGAAGGTTCTGGATTAGCAAATTCTGAACCTTATTTGGCAGTGTGGCTAAAACATCCTGTACTTTGTTCTTTGATGTTTGTCTACGTAACATCTTTTTTATTAGAGCACCTAGTCAGAAGGGTCCCTGATATGTTTTCCAAAACAGTTTTAGATGTCAAAGTGAAGTAAGAAAAGTCCTCAGTGCTTTTGGTGTTTTGATATAAAGTGAAATGTCATGGGAATCTTAATCATAATCTTGCTATTGACATCTTTATTAATATCCATAATTTTATTCATTGTCCTATTTAAAAATATATTTGTGAGGAGGCAATGGTTATTCAAACAATGGTCATATAAAATAAATCACAAGTGATGCAGTCTGACAGCTGTGTGAGCTTTGAAGACTTATGTACACTTTGGGCAAACAATGGAAGAAGAGGAAAAAGTATGCTTAGATAACACATCTCTTCTAAGATCCAGGAGCTGACAGAGGCTTCTGATCATCTTCCCAGTAAATGATAAATCTTGTTGCACCATAACAGTCATGATACTGCTATGGTTCCAGCATGAATGCATGTCAGGAAGCATCTCCTCAAAGAGCATTTCTCATTGTTTTAGAGCTGTGAGCTTCAGGTAGCAGGACATTCTGGTTTTGAAATGAGATGACATATTTTGACACAGAATAGTGAGGAATCTGTCAGTCTGCTGCTGTGGTTTTGGGTATGTGCAGCACAAAACAAACTTGTCATCTAAAACAGATCTTGAAAAGTTTAATGCTTTCAGTAGCCATGTAATAAAAACATCTATCATTATATGTATTTTTCTACAGGCAAGTAAACATTGCTATGGCATCTTTCTCTCTCTTAATAAATGTTTATTCTGTGTAATGCTTGAGAGATGAAACACAGGCATAAGAATATGCCTGATAAATTTAAAACTGAATTTTTCCATTTACGTTGTTATCAGACATTATGCACCTGATCCTTCTCTGAGATGAGAAAATTGTGCATTTGGAGTCATTTAAGGCCATATATGTGTTGTTAACTCCTTAATCTTTATTGTAATAAATTGGCATTTGTTTTCAAAATTGCCTAAGCTCACCTTTACTTTTATCACATTAGCTGAGAGCAGCTTGTCAAACTGAATGATGCTTTGTTATTATCACCTTTCCAAATGCTTCCTCTATGGGGCAGGAGAAGAAGCAGGGAAGTTGGGTGTTTGGCTTTGAATTAATGAAGAAGCTTTTCTGCACTGTTCAGGAACCACAAGTTTCTTCTTTTATGGTGCTCAACTGAGGCTGAGGGTGTAACAGAAGAGAGCTGCTTCTGTGAATTCAGTTCTGTTCTCATGTCTCTACACCTTCGCATGTTCTGAAGTTCTTCAGAAATTTACATCATGTTTGACTGATGTGCAAAAGAAATAAACTCTTTTCCAACAGGAGGGTTAGTAAATATCTTGAAGCTACATGAAAATGGAGTTTCTCTATTTACTTATCCCTTTCTCACAAAATGAGACCATGGATGAAGAAGAAGAATCAAATTTTCTGCTTTTGCTCCTGAACCATCACCTCATAAAACCAACACTGTTCATCTTCCCCAGGAAACATGGAACTTGGAGCTCCAGCATGTAGATATAAACTCAAAAAAAAAAAAAAAAAAAGGGAGTCTTTCCAAGTTCCTTGCTCAGGGTGCTTTCTCCAGTGAGGTCTGAACTTCTGGACTTATTCAGACTTCTGCCACGCCACTGTGTTATGATTTCCCCCAGAAAATTCATGGCACATTGTGACTTTTTTTTTTTTTTTTTTTAAGTCAGAATGAAGATCCAAGAATGTGTCACAATCACTTGTCTAAGCGATTGTAAATGCAGGTTAATTCCTTGAACTAAAGTTTGTTGATGGTCCCAAGAATGGTCTTAATTTAAATAGTTTGGTGCAGAGGTCCCAGGATGAGCTTCTGATTTTATTCTGCGTTACTACAGCTTCTGTTACAAGATGAAGCTGCAGGTAACTCTAGTGTAATCAAGTAATACAACACCAAAAGCTGCTGGAAGATGGCATTCCAGCAGGCTGAAAATTATTTCTTCATTGGGAGTATTCAGACTGCAATTTGAAGGCTGCCTTGTGTTCTGAAAGTAGGTAGTCTCGATTTGTACTTCAGCAGAGTTTCTGATTTTGTAGGGATTGAAGTCTTCTAAGAGTTCTACTGAAGAACATTGTAATCTAAAAATCTGATGGAATGGGGTAGTCTGCATTTTCTTAAATGAAGTCATGTTTTTTTCTTAAAAGTAGCAGTATTTCATAAATTTAAGCTAAATCATTTACCTATTTATTACTAAGCAACATCCAGTAAAACTTATGACACTGCTTGGAAAAATTAGGTATCACTAGCTGAGCAAACAAGATTTAAAGAAAAAGAAAGAGATATTAACAGCAATGGTTTTATACTTTCACTTTGTATACGTATGTATCTTTATGTCAAGTTTTCTAAGAATAAAGTCTGGTAATATCATTTATTTTCTTGTCTTTTTAAGGTTGCAGGAATTGTTGGCAGAGCAGATCTACTATGTGCCCTGTTCTTTTTGTTGTCATTCCTTGGCTACTGTAAAGCGTTTAGAGAAAGTAAGCATTGCATTTTATTTATCTTTAATTTTATGTTTTGTGTTATCTGTATTCATAAAGTGAAGTATAGCAGAACCAAGGTATGTTGTCCCTAATTCTTGTTAAACTGTAATAATTTATTTGCAGAAACAAATGTTTTGTAATGGGGCTGATATTTTAAATAGTTCATTGTACAGAAGCATATAAAATATTTTAAGAAGTATTTTAGAAAGAAATTAAACCTGTACTTTTCTATTATCGGTGTTATAGTGTACTTATGCTGTTGTGTTGGAATGGCTTAAATGGAAATGAACTTTAGAAACCTCACTTGTTATTTTTAATAAAGATTTATTCATATGAGTAAGCCCTCTGATTTCCAGCAATATGCAAGTGCTGGTGTATGCATGTTGATTATAGTGTTATTCATAGGATTTTTGTAAGACAACTGTGTTATTTTAACATGAAAAAATCCTTCAACAGAGATTTTAGATCTGTTGTATTATTTGACCTGAATGCAAGTTGGCAGTTCAAACAGTGTTTTGAAGGAATTGTCTTGGGATTTTTAAATTAATACACAAAAATACATCAATTTTTTATTATGAAAAACTGTACGGAATAGGCATTTTGGTTTCCAGATGTGTTCTAGCAGCAATAATAGTGGAATCATTTGGTGAACACATGAAGAGCTGTGCTACAGCGAGCTTGCACTGCATCAATTCAAAAGGCATTGTCTATAACGTTTAACTGCAGTTGAAAATGGTCCAGATTGACAACACAGTAATGGGATTGCAGGGTTTAGAGTAGTGGGGGGGGAGAGGGAAGGTAAGCTGGTGCACTGTGAGCTCTAAGACGCTGTCAGTAACCCTGTTAGTTGAGCTTACACTCCTTAGAACTACTTTGCTTATTTCTACTACACTTGATATCATAAGTTTAACTTGGTCACTTCAGATTATGCTTGTGGTAATTCCTGTTCACTTCTGTCTGTTTTTTTTCCTCTGCATACATTTCAGTTTTCAACTGAAATCATGTCTTGATGGGAATGGGCCTTGGGATCATGTTTGTTCATTAATTTTTTTCTCACCTATTTTAACTGGCTGTGTTTGTGCTTTGGATATTTCTTCTGTCAGCACCAGAGTAAATCAGACGAAATACTGGCTTTCTTGTTTATTGATAGAGGTATGCTGATATGGCTGGGGTAATAATTTTTGTTTGAAGACCTCAAGAGCCAAGTTCCAGAGTGCAGTCTTTCAAATAGTTTTGAGATGGAGGATATCTCAGGAATTATTTAGAATGTGATGTGTACTCTGACTGGGGATATTCTGAGTGGTTTTACAACTTTCAAAGGCTAGTCTGATGATTTTAAGTCAGTGTAGTTTCAAAAGTATTCTAGTATTAAAGTTCTTGTCACTGATGTAAACAAAACAGTGTGAAGTCAAGATAGTAAGAATTACTTAGTTGTTTTGTTGGATGCTATCTCATAATAACATCAGAGCTGTCTCTTACTCAGATTTGTTAAGGAAAACTATGGTCTGCCAACACTACTGCGCCTTTTGTTTTCCAGATCACATTTAAGTGGTTACTATCACCCTCATTGCCTGATTTTCTCTCAGATAATTCTTTGTGCCTGAAAATTTTTATCCAGGTTACATATAGTTCCTGCTTTGTGACAATTTCAGGTCTTGCAGATCATATCTTGCATCTCATAAATGAGAGAATGAAAAATTTATATCATCCAGCACTGTGGAGAGCATAATAATGTCTTTGGCAGATCTTACATGGAGCTAAAGGGAGGAGTCCACCCTTCAGGTTACTTAATCTGAATCTTACAAATTTTTAGGTCTGAAAATGGCCCAAACACTTCAAAGTCAGGATTTATTTCTCATCCGAGATGTGCCTTGCTGTAAAAACAATAATAATAAAAATAATAATTTCTGAACAGAAAGGTAGATGAGATTGACTGCTAGCAGTATTTCCACAAGCTTGATCTTTAGCCTCTTAAGTCAGCTGCATTTCATCTTGTGTCCATTACGAGGGGATTCTCAAATTTTACTGAGTTCAGGTTTCCCTACTGTGATCTTCAGCAGCTAACTTGGGCAGGCAACTTAAAAGCCTTTTCTCCCTGCTCTTTTTGTGTAGTCATTCAAAAGAGATGGACTTGTTTTGATGGTCAGTGAGAGGGGTGGTTTAGGTTAGGAACTTGCAATGGCCTTCTGGAGGTGCTTGAAACTCTTAGCTGTATAGAAGATTACAAAAGCTGGGCTTATAACTTAAAATATGTTTCCTTTGCTACTTTAGTTGGGGAAAAGTGCAGGCAGGTAGGTGCTGAAGTGGAGCAACCTAACTTTCTTTTGTCATAGACTGTAGAGAGATTTAGCTCCGAAGGAAACTCTGAAGGTCATCTCTGCTCTGACAGCTTAAGACAAGACTAGCTTTGTACGTCAGGTTGCTCAGGTCCTTAAACAGATGAGCTGTAAGAAAAACCCAAGGCAATTCCACAGCCTCACTAAGCAACCTTTCTAGTGTTTAACTGCCCTCATATGAAGATTTTTTTCCCTTATGTTCAGTTATAATTTGGTTTACTAGGCCTTGCAATTGCATCCTGTCCTTTCCCTTCAGAGAAGTCTGTCTCTGAAGGCTGAACTTGGATCCTCTTCAGCCTTCTCTAAAGGGAGAACGATAGGAGAACCAATTCCCTCAGCTTCTTTTCATATGTTATACTTCTGTGTCTCCTAACCACCTTACTGAATTTCCATCTTAATGATGCATCTCTTTCATTGGACACAACAGTGAACACAGTACTTTGGATGTAGCCTCACAAGAGCTGAACACAGAGGAAAACCATATTCACTCACCCATTGGATATGCTGTAGCTTATATAGCACACTGTGCATTTATCTTTTTTTCATCGCCACAAAAACACTGCTGACTTGTCTTCAGTTTGCTGTCAGTCAGGAACTCCAGGTCCTATTCTGCAGACCTGTTGTCTAGGCGGTCCCCAGACTGATCTGAAGCATGCTGCTGTTTTTGAATTCCATGAGCCTTATGTTAGCCCATTCCACCAGCTTGTCCCAGTCCCACCTGCTGGCAGTCCATTTCTCCACTGTTCCTGTGTATCCACTAGCAGAACCCCACCACCAACCACCACCAGTTCTACTTTCTGACCACACAATCTCTTTTCTTCTTTTGAACAAGGAGGTTGGTCCAATGTATCAGGGTCCTCATGTGTTGTCTGCTGTAGATAGTAGTGTCTTTATAGTAATGGCTGTAAGGGAAGCAGCTGTTTATTAAAAACTATTGGTGATAGGTGGACGATTGAACTGGATGATCTTGTAGGTCTTTTCTAACCTTTGTAATTCTATGATTCTAACATATCACAAAGAAAATACCATTTCTTTTCTCAGGATTCAGAATGTTTTCCTTCTGTTGGTAAATCATAATTATCCACAAGATTCAGAGTCTGCAATACTGCCAATGCTCATTGTTAGTTCTAGTCCAAGTAAACAATTGTTACTGCATCACTTTCTAGATCAGACCAAGATGCTCATTAATCTTTGTAGAGTGGCCTTTGTTATTATGAGGGGAGAGAAAAAAACCAAAAAACCTTCTGTGCATTCTGTTACATCAGGCTTATGTTTCTAATTATATACAGCACCTTCATGAAGATCCCCCAGAAAAATGATACCTAGCAATTTGTTCCAGCATTCCCATTTTATTTTATCTTGCTAGATTTGTATGTATCATTGGCAGGCATGACCCTAAATCCTGGGTAAAATGCCTCTGCCCTTGTTTCTGAATTTGGTTGTCACATGTATAGCATAGTTGATGAGCTGTTTAATAGGAGGAGGAGAAATATCAAAAAGGGATTTTTTTTTAAATTGTTATTAAAAAATGCATGGTATCATGGGGTTTTTTGGTTTATTAAAAAGAAAATGCAAATCTGAGCCTTTCAGCATTTATAGACTGCATTTGTATTGCATTTAGAATACAATTAACAAAAAATGTTTGATACTAGTTTGCATTTAATGATGAAGTTTGAGTGTCAGACTAAAACAAAGATTGAAAAGCCTGAGTTCATGATACTGGTATAGTTTCATCCTCAGTAACATACAGTCCAAGCAGCATCCCAGTGCTGTCAGACAGGTTATCTCAGACATTCACAAAGCACACACCTGTTCTTGCAGCAAGGCAAAGTAAGTTTTGTGTCCAGATGGGTTCCAGAAATCCTTTCTGCTAACATGGACTTAGTTGTTGTACTGTCATTGTTGAAGTCTTCTCTAACAAAAGTCATAGAAAAGAGACTGGTTAGTGTTTGTTTTCAATCAATCTTAAGTGAATGAACAGAGGGTGTTTAGGTTTTTTTGGCTTGAGAGTGAGGGATCATAAAAATGTCTGGGATGGATTTAGGAATACTGTGAGGAAGTGTAAATAATTCTGATGGCAATAAAGAGATTCGAGAAGTGGAAGTTATCAGTCTGGAAATCTTCCAAAGGAAAATGACTTTTGTAAAGCCCAAGATGTACTGCAGTTTGCTTACCTGATGTGGTTTATTTGTGGCTTGGTAGATTTTGGGGCAGAAAGTTTACTTCAGCCTGAATCTGTAGCATTACTTTTATTACTTTTTTCTTCAGCATTTCACTATGTAGGCTATAATTATATTCACTGAAATTCTGAAAATCTTTTACTTTTTTTTCTAATACACAGTTTTTGTTGTTACCAGAATTGACAGGTTAACACGTTTGCAAGGAACTAATCTGTTGTTCTCATTCTATTCTACTGTTTAAAAATTGTATTTATGGGGACAAATCCACTGCATAGGCTTTGGAGACAGCAAGAGCTGACAGCTGTTTAGGTAGGTTAGGTTTTGCCTTCCTTTGTCTTCAGCCTTGACAGTGATCCAGTGCATTTATTTGGCAACTCCATTAGTGTTCTGAGTAATGTAAAATGATGAGTTTGTGATATTTACTTCGTGTGAGTGACACCAGGCATGGATATTAAATGGGGGAACAACTGCTTATATGCTA